CTGGCCGGCGCTACGGCTGCTCTGCTTGGAGAGGAGCCCTTGGCTGCGGCCGGCGCCAGGAGAGGAGCTCGGCTCCTCTGCACGGCGCTCCTCGTGCTCGGGACGGTCGGGTCAGCCACATCTCGCGGCTCAACGGCAGCCCCGGAGGTCAGCGGGGCTCGCGGTTGCTGCCACATTGCTCAACGTGCCGCGGTTTTCTGCCTTCCCAGCAGCTTCCCGGCCCCTCGGCTCCGCTGCCACGTCCCCACGGCAGCTGTAAAGGGGTCGGCAGCGGCTGCGCAACCCTCACGCACGGAGCTCGCCGTGCGGCCACAGCGATCGCGAGGCGAGAAGGGCGGAATAACCACGGTTTTTATTTAAAAACAAAGAACAACCCAAACATTATTTTCCAAAGCAAGGTAATAAATAGAGAACGCGTTAGAAAAGAAGCCGGCGCCAGGCTAGGGAGCAGCAGGGACAGAGGGAAAGCCGGCGGGACGCGGAGCGCGCGGCAAGAGTGTCACTCCCCAGACTCCTGCATCTGCTTGCAGAAGGAGTCGAACTGCTGCTGCTCCAGCTCCGTCATGACCCGGTTGAGAGCGTAGATCTGCGCGGGGAGAGGGAGACGGGGAGAGGAGGACGGGGGAGAGGAGGCCGAGGCTGCTCCGGCGCGCAGGGGCGGCGCGGCGGGCCCCTCACCTCGGCCCTCTGCCGCTGCTTCAGCTCCTGCTGCGCAGACTTCTGCTTGGCCTTCTCCAGGCGCGCCGGCGGCTCCTTGCCCTTGGGCTTCTCCTTGCGCCCGCCGCCGGGCTCCATGGCTGGGGGCGGCCGCGCGGCGCAGGGCGCTGCCCGGCCCCGCCGCGAGCCCCGCRCACGCCTGCGTGCTGCTCTGCGGCCTCGCAGCCCCCCACGATCCCTCCTACAAACACGCAYGGCTGCTGCAGCCCCGGGACTCCCCCCCGAGCCCCACAGCTCCCCTCTTGGGCCCCACAGCCCACCCCAGTGACACCGACAGCCAGCCAAGGCCCCGGACCTTCCCCTATGGCTCCTGCAGACCCCGCATCGCCCCATAACACCCACCACGGTTCCCACAGCCCCCAGGGCCCCATRGCAACCGCCCCACAGGGCCCACTCACCCCTGCAGCCCCACAGCCTCCCCCCACAGGCCTGGGCCCCACAGATACCCCAAAGCCCCCAAACTGCCCCCCGAGTGACCCCCCAGCGACACCTACATCCCAGCCAGAGCCCCATATCCCCCCTATGCCTCCCACAGACCCCTTTGCGCCCCAAAACACCCCCTTACGATCCCCACAGCCCCGCAGCAGCCGCGCCACGGATCGCACAGGCCCCCTGAAGCCCCCCGACCTGCCGCCGCTCCCCCACAGGCCCCATAACCGCCCC